TGCTTCTTCACAAATTGTGATTCTAGTCAGTTGACGCTGACTTAGAAATGTATGCAGAACTCAGAATAATGCAAGCGTGAATGGTGATCACTTTTGCTGCCTAGTGCTTCAGTCATTATTGAATTTGTAGCCTGCTCATTGGGATTATAGTCTAATAGGTTTTTGGAGCTGGAAAGGCCTTTTTACTTGAGACAGTCTCATTCAGTTCTCTAACTTTTCAGGTAAGGAAAAGAAGGTCACACATTGAGTTAATGACAGAATGGGGCTGTGTTTCCATTGCTTCTGGTCTAGTTCATTTTCTGTTTAACAACACCTTTCAGAATTACTGGGGAATAATTCTGGAATCCTACTTAGAGAAATAATACAAGTCCCTTGGTCGCCTACAAGCCTATATTCTTTGGAATTGAAACTGTTGATTTACAAGAAGGCCCCTGTACAAGTTCTGTATTTGTTCATTCTGTAGCTTTTTGAATACAACAATAACTAGCAAGTTTACAAGGGCGAGAAGTGAAACTCCATCTGGTCTACTTTTCGTTTCTCCAATCCAAAAGCCACTGGTTTTTTAGAGTCTTGTTTATTATATTCTTCCTTCCTCCATTTTTCCAAAATATTGAGTTTTTCAGTCATTAGTGATCAATTATTCTTTACACTCATTATTCCTTAGCTCATGAAAATAGTGCTTAATAAATTTACTGCAAATAAAGATGTTTTAAATCAATTTTAGCCTCAGTTTCTGAGTGATTCACTAAAAGGAACTCCTTTGCTTTTCCTCAAGCATTTATGATGATCATTTTCAAAGATGTAACAGAGGTTGGAAGAATTTCACAGCAGATTCCTGAATCCTGACCACTGAGATTCTACAGCTGTCGTATTTCTGTATTTGCGTTAGTACATACCTGTTCATCCATCCATCTGTCCCTCACTTCATTCAGAATTGCTCATAAAGGCTACCTGGTTATACAAGCAATAGATAGATTTTTGCTGATTTTGCTTGCCAAAGCAAATTAAAGGCTACAACTATGGCTTTAACTAAGAATATATTAATTTCTCTGTCTTTTTTTTTTTAAGATGTTAATGACTGGGGAGGCATAGTAGCACGTTTATATTATGGATTACCTTCGTTTACTGTATTGATCAAAAGCTGAGTCATCCGTTTGACATTTTCATTCTTTATTACCTTCTTGTACATAGGAGTCCTTTCGGATAAATTAAGCTAATAAAGCTACGTTTGACTTTTAACAGAGAAAGGAGCTGCTTTATCTCGCTTTCTGGAAAGTCATTGAGTTATATGTATACTTTTCTAATCCCTCTAGGAAAAAGTTTATTTATTTACTTTAAAGATTTATGTACTCTAAAATGCAGAGTTAGAGAGAGAGACTCTCTCCATCTGCCAATTCACTCTCCAGGTGGCCACAATTGGAGCTTCCTCTGGGTCTCCCACAAGGGTGCAGGGGCCCAGGTACTGCCTTCCCAAGCATACTAGCAGGAAGCTGGATCAGAAGTAGAGCAGGTGCCAGCACTGTGGTATAGTAAGTTAAGCTTCCACCTGTGGTGCCAGCATCCCATATAAGTGCTGTTTCAATATCTCACTGCTCCAATTCCAATCCAGCTCTCTGTTGATGGCCTGGGAAAGCAGTGGAGGGTAGCACAAGTGTTTGAGGCCCTGTACCACATGGGAGACCTAGAAGAAGCTCTTGGCTTCGGATTGGCCTAGCTCCAGCCATTGTGGCCTTCTGGGGAGTAACAAGTGGGTGGAGGACCTCCCTGTCCCGCCTTTCTCTGTAACTCTGCTTCTCAAATAATTAAATCTTATTTAAAAAAAAAAAAAAAAAAGTGGAGCAGCCAGGTCTCAAACCAGCGCCTATATGGGATACTCTTGTCGCAGGTGACAGCCTCACCTGCCTCGTCACAACACTGGCCCTGAAAAACATTAATTTTAATGTGGAATGCTGAGATCAGTTATATTTTAGTATTTATTTTTCTCTTTGTACAAGTGAAATAATTTTTCTAAAAGATTTTTTATTTATTTGAAAGAGTTGCAGAGAGAGAGAGGGAGGAAGGGAGGGAGAGAGGGGTCTTCCATCTGGTGGTTCACTCCCCAGGTGACTGCAATGACCAGAGCTGAGCTGATCCAAAGCTAGCAGCTGGGGACTTCTTCCAGGTCTCCCATGGGGCCCAAAGACTTGGGCCATCTTCTACTGCTTTCCCAGGCCATAGCAGAGAGCTGGATCAGAAGTGGAGCAGCCAGGACTTGAACCAGCGCCCATAAGGGATGCTGGCACTTCAGGCTGGGGCAAGCCCCACAAGCGAAATAAATTAAAGTCCTCTTACTGCACTCCTGGAAATAATGTGAAGACTTTCAGGTATAGATTCCTTACTAACAGAAAAGTAAACATTTTAAAATAATTAACAATAAGACATATTGTAATCCTCCTAAATGTCATTTGGTTTTTGTAAAAGTACACACTTGAAGTTTCAAGTGGGAATGGGATTTGGTGCTTGTGGTTTAAAACATTGCCAGGGCTGGTGTTGTGTGGTGCAGTGGATTAAGTTAGTGAAGCTGGCATCCCATATGGGTGCCAGTTCAAGCCTACTGTTTCCAATCCAGCTCCGTCCTAATGTATGGAGAAGCAGCAGAACATGGTCCAAGTGCTTGGGCCTCTGCCACCTACATGGGAGACCTGGATGAAGTTCTTGGCTTCCGCCCGACCCATCCCTGGCTGATGGGGCCAACTGGGGAGTAAACCAGGGGATGGAAGATGGATCAATCTCTGTCTCTGTCTCTTTTTCTTTCTCTTTCACTTTGCCTTTCAAATAAATACTAAATACATCTTTAAAACATAAACAAAACCACATTGGCAGTTTGTTCCAACTGGAAATGGAGAAAGGAAAAGCAAAAAGATAAAATGTTTGATGTCACTCACAACCCGCTTTGGTTTGGAAATGATTAGTGTGTTTTTTGAGCATTTTTTTCCTATTCGTGTTTAATTTTCGTGTTTTAATTTTGTAAATTAGGTTAAAAATTATGCAGGCTGTTTACACATAACTCATTTTCCTCCCTTTCGGATTAATATCCTTTTATAAAATGGAAAACTATGTGGTTGTTAAAACAGTTTAAACATGGAGGGACGAGACTGCTTGAGAAGCTGTCGTGCCAGGGATGGACTCGTGGCTCTGCTTCAATTGCAGCTTCCTGGTGGTGCCTACATTGAGAGGAAGCAAGTGAAGACTCCTACCCCTTAAGTGGGAGGTGCAGATTGAGTTCCTGGCTCCTGGCTTTGGCCTGGGCCAGCCCTAGTTGTTGTGGGCATTTGGGGAGTGAGCCAGCTGATGGAAAAAAAATCTCTGTGTCTGTTTCTCTTTCTCACTTTACTTTCAAATAAAGGTAAAATAAATAAAGCTTTTATTTAAAAAAAAAGCATATGGAGGATGATAATGTGTTTCATAGCAGAGAGTTATTGGTGTCAGGGAAATTAAGTGGCTGTTACATGACTTGCAACTTGGACTGATAGTAAAGGGATTAAAAAGGCAGTAAAGCCGGGCTACTGGTAAAGGAAGTGAGGAGTGACCAATTTAGAGCTGTGTAAGCAGTTGTTAAGGTCAGCTGAGATTTTTTATCGTGTGTATTTTTTATCATGTGTATTTTAGTGGAACTAGAAAATTGCGTCACATCAATAGAGTAATTTTTAATGTATTAAATCCTGGTCATTTTTTGCCAAAAATGAATATAGCTTTGTATCCACTGGAGGTCTTGTTAAAGGAAAGTTTTTGCTGTATTTGGAAGATTGAAACAAAAAGGTGGTAAAGTTGACGGGTCTTATCTGTGAGAATGAACAGAGAGATCTTTCTCTTCACGTACTCATCTGGCAGGAAAGCTAATCCAGTTGCTTTGAATTTAGGGAAGCAGGCTTTCCTTAGGGATTCATTTTCTAAATGGCATTAATTTTCAGTTAAAGTTGTGGGAATAGAGCAGCGGACCCACAGCACCGTGATGGTCATCTTCTCATGATGCTGCTGACAGCACTGTAACAGAAAACAGATCTCCCTTGTGAAACAGGCATTTGTAGCAGCAGGTGATGAGCGCTGTTCTGAGAATGTCCTGCTCAGCATTCTCCCCTTTCACCTTTTTGATAACTCTGAAATATCTTTGAAAAAATTACTTTTGGTGGCACTGAGAGACGGAATTAAGTTTTAGTATCCAAAAGCACTTAACACTTAGCCATAAGAAATTGATTATGAATTTTTAGTGCTTATCCCTTAGATAATAACTCATTTTCCTCTCTAGTGAGACGTTCGTGATGGAGATGAAACCGAACTACCCCGTGGTTTGAGTAGGACTTTTATTAGAGCTTGTATCACTTTTATTTTACTGTGATTCTTGGGGAAACTTAAGGGTTGTTCATTTGTTTTCTTATTTGTTATTTCTTTTGTGTTTCTCATGATTTTAAATGAAGCTTGAGAAGTGGTTCTCCAGTAAAACTGAAACTGGGTAGAGCTTCAGTGTGTAACTGGGATCTTAAGCCTGCATTGACCAAGCCTAGCACATGGTCTTATCTGTCTTCCTGTAATGCCTGCACTTACAACTCCTGAGTCCAGAGGTGGTTTAACCTTTCCTTGCTTTGTGTAACATAAGGAATGCTTTTAAATATTTCTGCAAATGTTTTTAGATAATTTAAAGTAAAGCTGTTGTAACATTTATCCGTTTCTATCTTATATTAAATATAAAGTTGCAGAATTAGCTTGAACACCAAATTTCAGCTGGCATGAAAGGAGTATAGAGCAGCATCTGTTCAAAGTAAGTTAGAAACAAAGGAAGTTTCTCTGTGTAGTTTCCTGTCTCTTAAAACAAACAAAAAGCCTTCCACAAGTAACAGAGTATCTTTCATTTTACTAGTACGAATTTTGCTGTTTCATCATGCTGAATTGTTTGCTGGGTGTTCTTGTTCACTTTATTAAAGTTATTTTCTTAAAAGGTAAATAATTTGTTTTTCTTTTATCAGAACACGGCCATGGAGGAAACAGCTATATGGGAACAACACACAGTGACACTTCACAGGGTGAGTCTCTGCTGTGGTAAATACTCGGTGTGTGCTTCAGGATACTGGCAGCTTTGAAAGCCAGATGTCAGGAAGCCAGAAGAAGAGGGGAAATGTTTCTATATTCTTGTTTAAAATTAGAGTTGCAATAAATTCTTTATTAAGGTCAAATGTGAACATGATTATTTTTCATGTAACCTTTTGGTAGTTATTTGTGTATTTGCTGTTTTTATTCCTGATGTAAGAAAGTAACTATTCGTTTTTTAAAAAAACATTTCAAATAATTGGATAAAGTACTCTGTACATTTTATACTGTGAACCTTTCTGTATACCTTTCTGTGTATGCATGTATTATAGGCTTGGGATTTAAAATTAAATTAAAATTTGATTTGAAGCATGTATACCCAGCAATTGCTTAAACTATTACAGATGGATGGAAAGAGATTAGTAGTGAGCTTGGTAAGAGTAAGAACTTTATGAGACTGCCCTTGATTTCAGTCCTAGTTCTGCCTTTTCCTTGCTTTAGAAATGGGCAGATGAGCCAGCCCCTCGTAATCTTTGATTTTCACGTTTAAAATGGGGCTGATGGCACCAGTTCATGGTTTATCAATTCATAAAGTAAGTGCCTCCCTAAACTTTGCCCTTTCCACAGATTACCCTTCTTAGAGAATGAATGCAAAGAGACTAGAGGAAGTTTAGATGTTGGTCATGGACTTTGCAGTTACTGTTTCTACCAGCTGTGTCTGTTGTCAGGAAGATGGAATAGGGGAAATCATGTTACCAAGCCCTGTTCCTGATGATCTCATCAACATTTGCAAATAGTAGGAAATGGATAAAATATTATCTAAAAGACAATGATTGCAAATAAGATATGTAGACTCTTTTGTGTCTCACTAAAATACTAATCTTAACTTTTAATTTATAAGTCTGATATATGATTCCCCAGTGTTTGAAATGTACTGCTAGGTATCATATTAAAATCAGACATATATGATTCAATGTAAAATAACTCATACCTTAAGACTGTTTAATTAATGGATTATGATATAATGACTATATTACACTATTTTTCTTAATATTTTTATTGTTATAATTCACATAAAGTAAAATTTATGCTTGATACATAGAGCCTTGAGTTTAGACAGACACATACAGTTTTGTAACCCCTGCCGAAATGAAAACAGAGTGATCCAGTTTGAGTCGGCCTGTTCCGTCACCCCCAGTGCTTAGCCTCAGGTCTGTTTTCTGTTCTGTGCTTGTGCCTTTTCCAGAATGTCCTGTAAGTGGACTCAGAGTTTGCAGCATCTTGGACTGATGTCTTTCACTTTGCTGATGCGTTTGTGGTTCCTCCTTGTGGTCCTGCTGTCAGAAGTTAGTTCTTTCTCATTGCAGAGTAGCATTCCGTTGTGTGAAGGTGTGGTGCCTGATTCTCCAGTCACAGTACCTTTGGATTGTGTACAGTTTTGATGGTTACGAATAAATCTGTGTGAACACAACCTTTCATTTCTCTTGAGTGAATACTTAGGACTGGGATGGCTGTGAGTGTAGCAGTTGTTAGGTCTCATAAGAAGCTGCCGTGCTCGACCAGCCTGCGTTCACACTGGCTGTGGAGGAGAGCTCGTCACTCTGGCTCTTTGTTGTTGTTCGGTGTGGTTGGGTTTTGTTCCTTAATTTAGCCAGTCTAACAGTTTGATGTTTCAGTCTGTGCTGCTCTGAAGGCTGATGCTTGTGAGTATCTCCTGCATGTCTTCTTAGGTACAATGCGTTCAAATCTCTTGCCTATTTTTAATTTTTTTCTTATTAGTTGAGGTTTTTAAAATTTGGTAAAATCAATGTAACATACAACTTAACCATCTATTTGAGTCCTTTGCTCAGTTTTTAATCAAGTGGCTTGTGTTTAGCTGTTAAGCTATAGGAGTTCTTCACGCATTCTGGATACTTGCCCCTCACCAGATGCGTGATTGGCAGGCACGTCTTCCCCTCCCATGGACTGCCTTTCCACTCTTGATTGTCCTCTTTGGTGCACAGAAGTGGGAGTTTCTAAGAATTTTTCCTATATTTTGGATATAGGTTCTTCATCAAGTCTGGTTTTTTGCAAGTGTTTTTTTCCTCAGCCTGATTTGTCTTTTCCTCTCACAATAGTATTTTCACAGTACATAAATTTAAAATGTTGATACAAGTCCAATTTTTAATTTTTTTCACTGTTCAGGCTTTTCATTTTGTATCTGAGAAATCTTTGTCAAATGCAAGGTCAGAAGTTTTTTTTCCCTGTGGTTTCTTCTATATCTATTAGCGTTACGTTTTGTATGTACTCTGTGATCTGACTGGATTTTTTTCTGATGGGTGTCTAATTTTTGAGCGACTGTTTTGTTGAAAAGATTATCCTTTCTCTTTAATTGCCTTTAGGCCTGTGTCAGCCATCAGTGTCCCCGTGTTTGTTGGGGCCGTCCTGACACCAGTGACCCCACGTTTGTGATTCTGGGCTGCTAGTCTGCTCTGCTGTTCCACGCATGCCTTCTGCTTCGATTACTGTAGCGTGATGTCAAGTGTAGAAATCAAGTAGTGTGAATCAGCCCAACTTGTTCTTTTTTAAAAAATTGTGGCTGTTCTCATTTATTTGCCTTTCTGTATAAATCTTAGAATAAGCTTAATTTGTAGCAAAAAATATTCTAGAATTTTCATTGGAATTACACAGAGTCTATAGGTCAGTTTGAGAACTGACAATATTGAGTCTTCCAAACTGTGAGTATAGTGTATCTTCTCGTTGTTTGATTTCTTTCATCACTGGTGTTTTTGACATACAGATCTTCCATACAGTTTTTAGGCTTATAGTTAAATATCTCAGGCTTCTTGGTGCTGATATAAACTTGTTGTTAATTACAGTTTTTGATTGTTCACTGTTAGCATATAAATACAATTGATTTTTTTAAGATTTATTTATTTGAAAGATTTACACAGAGAAGGAGAAGGAGAGGGGAAGGAGGGAGGGGGAGAGAGGGGGAGAGAGAGAGAAGTCTTCCGTCTGCTGGTTTACTCCCCAGTTGGCTGCATGAACCAGAGCTGCGTCAATCTGAAGTCTGGAGCCAGAAGCTTCTTCTGGGTCTCCCACATGGATGCAAGGGCCCAAGGACTTGGGTCATCTTCTACTGCTTTTTCAGGCCATAGCAGATAGAGCAGCCGGGACTAGAACCAGTGGCCACATGGGATGTCAGCACTGCAGGCGGTGGCTTTACCCACTAAGCCACAGAACCAGCCCTGACAATTGATTTTTAAGAATTTATTTTTTTTTTTAATTTGAGAGAGAGCACCTATCCATTGCTTCACTCCCATATGCAGTGACCAGGGCTGATCCAGACTGATGCTGGGAGCTGGCAGTGCATTCCAGGTCTCCACCATAGGAAACAGGGACCCAAGTATTTGAACCATCACCTGCTGTCTCCCAGGGTGCTCAGGAGATTAAAATTGGGAGTAGAGCCAGGACTGGAACCCAGACACTCCAATAATGAGACGCAGGCATCTGAACTTCTAGGTCAAATGCCTACCCCCCCCCCCCTTTTTTTATATAATGACCTTTTGACCTTCTGAAATGCAGTAATTCTAGAAGTATTTTTGTTGATTTCTTGGGAATTTTTATATGTTGATTGTTATGTCATCCGGAATGGAGGTGGTTTTACTTTTTTTCTTTTGAAATCTGTATGCCATTTATTTTATGTTTTCTTCCCTTCCTGCACTAAGATTTCCAGGTTGCTATCGACCAGGAATACAGAATACTTGCTTTATTTCTTCTAATTGTTGGTGAAAGCATTCTATCTTTCACTAAGTATGATGTCTTTGTAGATTGCCTTCATCATATTGGGAACTGTTTCTATTTGCCATTTATTAGGTTGAGGAAGTTTCTTTAACTTAGTTTACTGAGAGGTTTTCTCTTCTTTTGTGCATCATGACTGGATGTTGAGTTTTGTCACCCATTTCGCAAGTTTTGATTTGGGTTGTTTTTTGGGTTTTCCCAAAAATGTGAGAAATGTGAGTTTTTTTCCCCGATTGTTGAACAGATTCCTAATAAAAAGTCTACTTGATTGTAATGTATTACCCATTTTGTATAATGCTGGCTTGTTTTGTTCATGATTTGTGAAGATATTTGTTTCAATGTTAATGAGGAATAGTAGTCAATATTTTTAAAAAATTGCTTTTATCTGGTTTTTAATATAAAGGGAAAAGTGCTAACCTCAAAACAAGGAGTTGCAGAGTATTGCTTCCTCTGTGGTTTCTGGTGGAAACTGTGTACACTTCATGTTGTTTTTGTCCTTAGCTGTTTAGTAGAATTCACCAGAGGAGCCATCTGAGATGATAGCTTTCTTTGCAGGAAAGTGGTTTTTTTTTTTGTTTGTTTTTATTTATTTGAAAGGCAGAAAGTAGATAGTGAGCTCTTCTGCCCACCAGTTCACTCCCCAAGTGGCCAGGCTGAAGCCAGGAACCAGGAACTCCATCCTGACCTCTCATGTGCGTGGCCAGGCTGTAGTACCATGGCCATCATCTGCTGCTTTCCCAGGCTCATTATTAGGGAGCTGGATTGGAAGCGGAGTAGCCAGGACTTGAACTGGCGCTCTGGTAGGGCATGCTGCTTTCGCAAGCAACAGTCTAACCCTCTGTGCTACAGTGTCAGCTTCTGTGGGAAGTTTATAACAACTGTATTTTCTTTAATTTTACATAAGGGTTATTTCAGTTATGAATTTTTTCTTTGTTAGTGTTTTCTGGGTTGCTGGATTGTTTTTGCTTTTTGTACCTTTGGTAGTTTGGATCTTCTCAAGTATTTGTCTCTGTCATTTAAATTGTTAAATATTATTATGGGCATAACCTTTCTTTTAGTAATATATGGGAAATACATAGGTTTCAAAACCATTGCACCAAAATAACTCATGCTTTCTAATTACGTACTTTCCACTAACTTTTTTTTTCTTTTTTTAAAGATTTATTTTACTTGAAAGAGTTAGAGAGAGAAGGAGAGGCAGCGAGAGAGACAG